AATTGAATTCAAGACACCAGATAGCAATAGCATGTATTTGCTCACACTTATGTACAGATATGCATTCATTTATGGACCTCTCAGTCCTATTTCTATATTTCTCTGTACAACAGACTTACCTTTTTAACTGTTTTTGTTACATGCCATCGAGTCAGAACTAACTGCTGGCTGACCTTCCAGCAGGTTTTCATAGACAGTAAATCACATGGGAGGAGATTGCTCATCTTTCCTCCCGCAGAGTGATTGCTGAATTCGAACAATGAGCCGTTGGATTGGCAGCACAATTCCTTACCCCTAAGCCAGCAGAGCTTTCTAATAATAGACTTTTATATATATTAAGAAATCTCATTCTTTTAAGAAATGTCTTTGTTTTTCTCTTTGATTTCCCAGATGAGCTAGAATATAAAATTAAAACCCACTTCTGTTTGTGTTTAGAATGTAATTAAATTAAATGTTATAGATTAATTTGAGGAGAATTAGCATCTTTTTAATGAATTGAGTTTATGAGGATAGAAAGGAGGCTGTTAACAGGATCCTTTTACACTCAAAATTTTTAAACCGTTTATAGCTAATATATCAGAATGTGATTTTTGTATTGGAGCCACATACATTTCTGAGTTTCAATGTATTTCATTTTTTTAGTTGATTTTCTAACTCATATTTTAAAGGTGATCTCATCTATGTGAAATAAAAATTTTTTCTTCCTCTGTAGCACTTATCCATCTTAAATATGTTCTTATTTTATCAACTTGCCTCTAATGTTTCTTCATTAATTATTATACTGGATTCTAATTGGAAAGAATACTTTTATCTCATTTGGGAAGTTGAGTTTTGTTGGAGTTGCTTTTGTATTTCCAATTTCCTAAGAGTTCTTATTTATTTATGAAAATAGATGAAAGATGATTTGAGTTTTTGAAACTGAAGAAGTTAGCTAAAGTGTTTAGGCCAAGATTGCAGTATAGAATTACAGCAGTAGCTTTTGCCTTTTGAAAATGATTGGATTTCTGTATAATTAGGGCAAAGTGGGAAGAAGAGCTGAAGGCAGGATCCTGAAGGTCCTTGTTTATCTCATTAAAGAATTTGGATTTGGGTTTGTTTTTTAGTTTTTTATTTTTGTACAGATTTTAGAAATAGAGATACCCTTTAAGCATCTGGGAATATGAATCTGGAAATCAGGAGAAGCTGTAGATCTGAGGTCAGAGATTTATGAGTGTTTCTACCTAAATATTGTGATGGCAGTTAGAGAAGTATTAGGGGCTTGACCTTGATGAGCACATCATTTAAAGAGAAGCAGAAAGGAAAGAGATCCACTAAGAAAATGAGAAGCAAACCACTAGAGGGATAGATGAAAAATAAGAAAAGAACTGGCATGGAAACCAAGAATGTCACCTGTTGTATTGAGTACAAATAAGACCTGAAAAAGTGCCCTCTGAGTTTAACAACTGTGCATTCCTCATAGATGGCAAATGCCTTTATCTTTTAAAACTTGACTAAAAAGAAGAGAACTGGTTATAAGGTGGTTTGGGATTTCATGAGTATTTTTAAAAGATAAGACTACAGCATTTTAATTTTTTTTTTTTTTTACTCTGCGTAGAAAGCAGCACTTAGACATGTAGTTGGAAAAGAGCAGGAAATTTTTGGCATAGTTAATAGGAATGGAGCACAGAGCAAAGATTCAGGGAGTGTAAAAAGAGCAAGGATAGCATGGGATGGTTATATCTGACCTCTCCAAACTCCACAAGGGTGAACTGTACCTGTCAACAGCATCAGCAGCACAACCAATTCCCGTGAGGTGAGACATGTCCCCCACACGCCCAACATCAGTCTTACTGCTTTGCTGGATTCAGAATCTGTTGCAATAGCTCACAGACCACTCAGAACCATATTAGGGAAGTCAGGAGGCTGTACTTTAGCTTAGTAGCAGATGTAATCACTCAATCAAGACAGCTTTGAAATGTGGTCACGGTCACCTCAACCTTCAGTCTCATGGCTTTAGGTAGGTGTTACAAAGCTCTTAGTCCTCTCAGTGTCTCTTCACAACCCTTAATCTACCAGGAAGCTTGTGGAAAAGGTTCTTAGCTGTGGTTCCATGGCATAGCAGTCAGCTCTGTCTCATGTCAGTTCTCTCTCATCACTGGTTCTCTGCTGCTCTCCTGTTGGTCTGGCTGGTACGAGTATCTCTGATGCTGAAGGGCATGCTGCATGCTCTTGCTTCTTTGCTGACTCTCAAATTCTGCTATAAATCGGCTCAATTTAATGGCAGTCCCATTGTAGATAGACTAACACATTATTTACGTATTCCCACCCATTTACATGGTAAAGTTAGTGACTATGAAGCCATTTTGAATAACCCTTAACACCACAGTGAATGAACCTGCATGTGAGTATGCATAGATTGTATACTTTTGTGTGTAGTTATTGACATTGGTCAGTTTTCTTTGAATTACGATCTATAGCAATATTTGAATTGTCTCGAGCTTTTTAGGGGACACTCTATATAAAATACAAAACTAGGATGCAGAATGAAGGTTATTAAATAAAAGTGTTAAAGCAAAAATCAGAATCCTGTGCTTCTGAAGCAGGTACAATTTTTAAGATTTAGTCTAATCTA